GTTCGTTACACTTAAAAGCAATTATTGAAATTCTTACTTGTCATTTACCTCTACCTTCTCCTCATCATCTTTCCAAAAAAATGCTTCTTTCCTTATGTATTACTTGTCTGCCAAAATTACAACCATTATTCAATTGTATTAAATTTTATCCATTATTAATACGATGATGGAAATATTTCAACGTTAAACTATAACATCTTGTTTATTTGTATTATTATCAACATATATATATGTATATATATATATATACAAGTGATACGATAATAATTATTTTATATCTAACATCTTCTTTATAACAGAATGATGACCTATAAATAATAACGAAAAAATTTTAGATATCTTTTCTATAGCAGATATTTTGAAAGGGAAGAAATAACAATCTTGACCAATGAGCACTAAAGCTAATGCCATGTTTATAGATGCAAAAACATGTCTATAAGCCAAAAATTTTCGAGTAGTAGATTGGTTCCCAGTTAGTTTTATTTGAAAGTGAGATTTTTCTGTCAGAAGTCGTGGTTATGTCAAGAATACAAGACTATTCAACAATTTCTAGTCATTCTATACAAGATTTACACGTAATTATTTCGTATATTTTCTACATTTAGTATTTATTTTATAACTATGAATCTATATTCTATAAAGGAATATTTATTTATCCATTTGCCTAAAAAGACTTATATTACTTAATATAGACAAAAATTATTATTATTATTATCTTTCTATTATTATGTGTATCTATAGAAATTTATAGCATTCCTTATTTGGTGTTATTAACAGAAAACTAGTTAGAGAATACGTTGGAGAGTTTATTAACTATTCCATTAATATAGATGTTAATTAATAGCCAGTATCGGTATTAGTCTCTAAATTATTAAACCTTTTAATAAGAGCAAATATCTATTGATACAAACGAAAGAAAAAGACATATCTTTGAACAGATAATAAGATATTAGATATTCTCTCAATAGGTGATCCTTACCTTTTTCCCTTCCTTTTTCCTATATTCCTTTATATGTCAGATTATATTAATAATTGTTTACGTATTGTTCTATTGAAAACGAAAAGTAAACAATTACCCTTAATACTTAGGCCATTTGCTCTCTTATATAAATTTTTTTGTAGTCATCAGCTCGTATTGTATAATTTATTGAAAAGTAAATTATATGAAGTACTTTTTGGTCAGTAAATAAATTGAATTTTTTTACAGAAATAAGACCCCCGTTTTTTCATTCTCTTTACGTTCTATAATCAATCAATCTATTGAGGTAATTTTTTATCCGCTATGGGAAAAATATGAAATATTACCTTAGAGTTTTGCTAGAGTAATTTATTTGCTAAAGGAATTAAGCTCCTAGGTGGGATTTATGGTTATCTTATCGGGTTTCTGCCCTAAATAATTGAAACACGGCCTTGAGTGTAGGAATAAAATAGTTTTAATGTTAGAAATGACAAAAAAACTTCTTTCAGGATTATTTAAATTAATAAAAATATATCGAGTAGAAAATTTTATCAGCTATTGGAATTTGCATCAGTAACATAACGTTTATATGATTGCTTAAATTAGCATAAAAGCCATAATATAATAAAGCAAGGAATCTTTGCCTTTTAACTATAAACCTTTCTGATCAAAATTTTTTATTAATTATATAATCAATAATAATATAAGACCGAATATGTCGATTGTAATCTTAATCGTTCTATATATAAATAACTTATAAATCATATCAAGTTTCCTTTTTACCATAAAGTGCGAATTGCTTATGTACATATACAGCATATGAAAGATTAAAGAGAGAAAAATAATTGTTGTAGGAGGAAAAACAGCAAAATGTTAAGTATTAAAGGGAGAATGAGAAGGCAACGGAAGAAAGAAAGCTAGCCTTAGTGTCTATTTATTTAATATTTATAAATGCATGTGAGTGAGTGAAAGAGTGGAAGAGTGTGTATGGGTGTGTTTGTATGTTTAAGAGAAAAAAATAAAGCTTGTAATAGAGGAAGAAATAGAAGAAGAAATATGTGCGAAAGAGAAGGAAAGTGGGAGAGTATTTGTGTATGTGGAAAAAGAGAAAGACAGATAAACACTAGTAAGTTATTGCCAATATATTTTGTTCAGCTTACTCAACTGGAAAAAATATTCGTTACAAGTTCTCTTTTCGGTTTGATGTATAAGATAGAAAATTTTCCGTAGATATTACGATTACGAGGAATAGATAAAGAAAAAGTACGGAAGAAAACAGAGAAAGTAATCAGCATAATGATATTTAATCAATTTTTCCTGTCTCTCTCTCTCTCTCTCTGTCTCTCTCATACAAATATTCTCTCCTTTATTTCTTTCCTACATATAATTTATATTTTTATTCATACATTTTCAATATCATATTTGTTTTATTTATAATTCAAATTAATGATTTTTTTACCACAATTTCTTTAGCTCTCTTTGATTCTCTGCTTACTTAATAAGAATTATAGTCTATTGCATAGAAAGAAATTATATAAATAATAGTCATTGGGAAGGGACATTGACCTCTTTGCTCTGTAAGCTTATCAGTTCCACATATACCTCTTAGATTCGATTGATTTTTTTAAACTGTACTCTGTCGCGGTTAATGCAGAATGAAAATGGAATCCTGTCACGATTTACTTAATTTTATTCATTTTAAAAATATGATTGTACTTTAATAATATTAGTTAAAAACAAAACTATAAAAATGATATAGAATGAGGAGAGAAACGGCAAATTTCTACCAAAGATTATTTTTCTAAAGTACAAAAAATATACAGGCGCTAGAGGGAGAATATAGATGAAAAATGGGGCACGCCAGAAAATTGTAGGAAAGGGGAGAATGATGAGTATAAAGGGACGGAGATAAGACACTTAATAAAGTGTGCTTAAGAAAATTATTTTTAAAATGAGATATTAGACTTTATAACATCGAGTTGGCATCTTTCCTTAAACATTATTCATTATAATTCTTTCATCTTATCCCTACATTTGCATATAATATACTTTATACAGATAAGATAATTTACATTATGTGTGATCTATCCCTCTGAAAATAATCAAAAATAAACAAAAAATAAAGAAGATGGACAGTTTGACATTAAAGAAAAAAGTAAAAAGAAAAAAATAACAACACAATTTTACACTAAATAGTAGTATAGAACCTATTTTTTATGATGGTCGTCGGCATGGGATTTACAATTGATAAACGGATCACAATCAGACACTATTCATTTTTTCCACCCCCTCCCCCCCTCCCCACCCCTTCTTTAATAATTGCAAACTTTTTCAAGAGTAAAAGTAACCTTTTTTTTCTTTTTAGATTAGTTTTATGTCTAGAAATAGAGAAAGAAGAAAAATAACAACACAAAAATTCAATTGTCAAATTACAGTATATATAGCCTTTAAGAGAATTCCTTTTTTTTATTTGCCTGTTTTAAGGTTAATGTATATCTATTTTTTTGTTTATTATTGCGACTTTATACGTTTATTTATATCCTTTTTCCTCTTTTTCTTTTTCTTCTTCCTCTTCTCTTTTTATAGATAGTTTGTTCCCCTTTTTTTATTATAAATTCCAAGTAGGTAAACAATTTAGCAAAAGCAAAATTATAGATTTCGACATATATACAGTAGTTTCTTTAAAGGAAACACGCACGGACCGTCACTTCTGTTTTTTTTTTAAGGCGTTGACTTATTCGATTTTTTTTTCTTTTAGGTTTTTTACGCGGAAGTCGGAAAATACGACAGTCTACCGACAAATGACCGAACAACAAAGTATTGTGTCCACCATGTTTGCTCACCAATATGCGATCATCACAGGCATTGCAAACCTGTAAGTTTATTCGTCCTTTTCTATTTCATCCTCAATTTTTAATATTGTATACGTCGGCTAATAAAAAAAAAAACCGACCGATAGATGGCGATACGTCTAGAATCTGTTAATTTATTTCTTTAATTATGATAATAATAATAATTGGTACTTTACAAAGAAAAACTTGAAAGTTAAAGAGAAATTTATTTAAAAATAAATACAGTGTCTTCACTTCACGCCCCACAGAAGTGATAAATTTATAATAGACGAAAATGGAGCTCTAAGACCAAAGCCTCCAACGTGTTTAGGAAAAATGAAGAATTTTACTGGTTTCATTTTCGTTTTTATCTTTGTTATGGCAATTGTTTTATTATTAACTATGCAAAGTTCAGATATTCCTATATTCTCTCCTATAATTAATCAAACAAACTCAACGGAAGGTTCATTTTCTAATGAGACTTTAGTGAATTAAGAAGAGAATTTAAAGAAAATAGATAACAAAATAATTTAAGAGATAAATAAATATAAATGAAAATAAAAGAGAGATTATAATGAATGATTTTATAAGAAGACAGTTATTGGTTTAACTTTTGAAAATAAATGCCAAACTTTTACCGATTGTTCCTAATCTGCAGTCTAATGTACAGTATCCTCTTCATGATTATAAAAGCTCTATACCGATATACTTGTATATACTTGTATAATATTATATGTTACAGTTGTTTTTTCTTCAATTGTATATATATATATATATATATATTTACTTATTTATTATGAAATACATGTATTTGTTGAAAATGTGTACATAACGTTAATAAACTCATCAAATTCGTACCTGTTAAAATATATTATATATATATATATATATATATACAATACATGCATCCATAAAATCTTGATAAAATCAATATTTTTACATAAACATAGACTTTGTCTATATTTTCAGATAGATCCATTAACTTTTAGGTATATTTTTAATAACTTTAATTGAATTGCAAGTTTTACAATAAAACAGTAAAGATTAAAGGGAATATAAATAAATGACCCATTTTAAAATTAATACATCACTCTATATATTTCTGGTCTAATGATTTGTTCTACTTTGCTAAAGTAACGATTTTTATTAAGTTTCTATGAAATGACGTCAATAAACGTTTAAAAAAACTGATTTTTTTTATTATCTTAAGTATAAAGTAGACACCAAAATAAGCAAATGAAAAAATATGTCAAGAGTAAATTAAATTCTACAGAAAAAATGGAAGAATCGAATAAAGGGAATAGAAAAGGGAATTCCTTAAGTAGAATGTCAAGTAACCGTCAAAGAATTTGGTCAAAAGATGGAATTTTTATGCAAAGGTCAATAAGGAAATCTATGGAAAATTTGAAAAAAGGCAAATTATATTCATCTTGTTTAAGGAATTCTAAGAATATTTCAACAAATTTAAATTATGCAGACGAAATCCACAAAACTAAAGTAACTGCTGCAGGCTTTAAGCGATCTGGCCAAGGTTTATCTCTTGGGGAATCGATTAAAATATCCAATACGGAGAATAATCTTAGAAAAATCGTAACTAATTTCCTACTTGCCGAATCCTTGTCGAATAGGAAAGATCTACTCGTCAAAGGGAATAAAGATGATACTTTAGCGACTCAAATAGTCCGCTTTGTAATTATAGACGCCCTTGCTAGAATAATGGGAAAAGATTTGGATAGAGAATTTGGTCATGTAGCTGATACTTTTGCTAATCGTTTTGTTATTGACGTTTTAAATGACAAAGTTAGATTTAAGGGAAATAATAAGGAAAAAGCAATCAATATCGCAGCTATTACTATTGAAAATGTAATAAATACTTATTCAATTTATAGTGAATTATATCAGCAAGCTGTAAATAATTATCCGGATTTTGACTTGAGAAGCACAGCATATGAAATTATGCATTGTATTATTGATTTTGAAACTCCAGATTATTCTTATTATGATAGTAATAATCAAAATAAACCAACTAGTTAGTTGTTCTATTATTATTCAACAATTATTCATGCATAATTAATAACATTTCTAAAAATTATTCCATATCTTCCTAGATAAACCTTCTACTACCTACGATATTTGTACTATTAATAATGAACTAACAAACATGAATATTAATATCAATGAAAATGATAATTTTAACAGCTACAACAAGAAAGATAACGAATTTGAAAGTATTAAAAAGTCTTTATTCAATACAAACAGCGATTCGATACTTTCTCAACTCAAAGAATATCAACTTTACGAACAAACAAACGATTCTTTTTCGTCAATTTGTAGAAATTTTAATAAAAACTGCAATGAAATGGATAAATCCACTAGACAGAGTGCGAATGTCAATAATAGTAAGGTAAAGATTAAGAAACAATCTGCCTCTGGCGAATCTATAAAAGTGAAAACTACTGATAGTACTGTTAATGCAGAAGCTAATCAATCTACGCTAGAGAAACAATCAAAGGATGAGATAATAAAAAGGAAAAAAGATAAGGAAGAGCTTAAAATAGTTAATGAAACAGAAGAAAATCAAGTTGAGATTCAAACGATTGAGTTTAACGAAGAGGAAAATGAACGTGATCATTGTATTCCTTGCAGAATAAAGGGGAAAATTCGTGAAGTGAACTCAAGCGATCACTTATTGGATGATGATTGCGATGATATTTTCGACTATATATTATGCAATAAGTCTTCTACTGATAACAAGGAATAATATTATTTGCGTTTTGTTTGCCTTTGTCCTTTATAGGTTTCTCCTAAAACTAGACCTATTAATTTTATCAAGACAACAAAACTCACCAACTTTTTCCCATTCTCTCTCTAACTTTTACCGATATGTATTCGAGTTTAATAGTAGTCTTTTGTTAGGACAGTCTTACTTAATTTATTTAGGAAAAGAGATCTAATTTCCTCTTAATCTAGTTTTCTTTATAATTACTTTTACTTAGATTATGGTACTTTATTAAATGCAGCTATTTTCTAGGATGGTTCCTCCTTTCTCTATTTCTCCACTTCATTTTATCAATTACTATATACTATATATATATATATATATATATATAGGCTGTCATTCATTTTTTATTCTCTATTTATCTATAAGCAGAATTGTATATGATTTTAGAATTGTTTACTATGATTAAGTAGAAATTAAAGATATATCTGAAAACTATAAAACTGATAAGAAAAGTTCATTATAAAAATAAGAGAACGCCTACTAATTTCAAAACAGTATGAGTAAGTTTTATTTATAAATCTAAGTCTTTTTTTCATTTTTCCCCCATTAATTAACCTTTGGAAATTCGTTTCCTCTCTACGCTTTTTCCATAGGTAATAATGCGGAAATATTCACAACTTCTAATAATACCCAAACATCTGAACTGGATTCCTATCCAACAACAAAGTGTGCCTGTCACACTATGGAATCAATACATGATAATCGAGGTGCAAGAAATCAATTAATCATTGTGGCTATTTTATGCGCAATTTTTATGATCGGCGAAATAGTTGGTAAATATTATTTTCATATTAAAATAAATATGTTTTTGCATTATAAATAAAGAAATATGCAAATTCTTTAATAAATTCTTTATACAGTAAAATATTTTGCAGTTTTCATTTCGGATTAAAAATAAAAGGGCCTAAAAAATGTATTTCTCTCCTTTAGCTTTTCTTTTAACTCTGCTCTTTGTTTTGTAAAATTTATTCAGGTGGAATAATTGCAAGTAGTTTAGCATTACTCTCCGATGCCCTTCACCTCGGTAGCGATCTTGCTGGATTTATTATAAGTCTAGTTGCATTGTGGTTGGCTAAGAAACCGGCAAATTCGAGAATGACCTTTGGCTATTATAGAGCTGGTTAATATTTTTTTTATTACTATTTAAACTATAATAGTAAGTGACCAGGTTTTTGTTTACTTTCTTTTAGAAGTCGTGGGTGCTTTAATAAGCGTTATAATAATTTGGTTAGTTACTGCTATTTTGGTCTATGCTGCAGTGCTAAGAATAAAAGATCAAAACTATGAAATAAAACCATTAATAATGCTGATAACAGCATCAGCTGGAGTTGCCTTTAATATTACGTTTGTATTTATGAAAACATTACTGGTATACAATAGAAGATTATCATTGATTTCTATTTAGGTTAGGTATCATTTTACACTGTAGTAAATGTCACTGTAACGTTGCTCATGGTCATTCGCATGGAGCTGATAGAACATTTATAATTGACAACGACGCCCTAGCTCAACAGGATAGCGAAAACAGCAACAACACTTTTAACGATACAAATACACAAAACGATAATATCAATGTTAAAGCCGCTCTTATCCATGTCATTGGAGATTTGATTCAGAGTTGTGGAGTTGTAATCGCTTCTGTTATCATCTTAATAAAAGTACAGTATATACATTTACTAATTCGTTACGGATAATGCATTCTTATAAATACTTTATAGCCACAATATAAAATTGCCGATCCCATCTGTACATTTCTGTTCAGTGTACTAGTGCTTATCTCTACAATTAGAATACTTAGAGAAATTGGATTTGTCATTATGGAAGGTTCGCCAAATGAAAGTCAGTTACATAGATTAGAGAGTGATCTCAAGTCCAACTCATTAATATTGTCCATACACGATTTGCATGTTTGGTCTTTAACGACAAACAGACTGGTTGCATCAGTGCATATCGTTGTGAATAATAGACAAGTTGAGACAAAAGAAATCGAGAACTTTGCTACAGAATTGTTGAAGCGAAAATATGGTGTAAGTAAAACAACGGTACAAGTTGAAACTTATGAAAACTGCGATACTTGTTACGTTTATGATAATTAATTAAGATTAATTTATACAATGTATACACTATATGTTCAATATATTTCAAAAAAAGACTTTTTATCTCTCTTAAATAAAATTAATTAGTGACCTTCACCTATATCTGTCAATTCATTATAAAATAATATAGATAAATTTTAAGACGCAAGTTAATTAATGACAAAAAGTAGGCTCTTCCCTTTTTGCCTTGTAACATAAGATTAACATATGCTTTTTCTCATATAGAAATATATATATGTTATAAAAGAATAAATAGTTTTTTTCATCTTAATGACTTTCTAATAGCTAGAAAGTTAAAATAATGTTGTCTCTATTTGGCATCCTTTTGGCTTTATTTCCATTATGCTCCACTCAGAATTTCTTGATAGGGGCTGGTATTTCAGACATGACAGGTCTTCTAAGTGAAGGCATCATGGTAAGCAAAAATAATTTCACTTTTATCTTTTATTTCTTTATGATAAATTCCATCTTTAGTTCGGTTATGCTAAACAAGATCAAGAAGCCAGAGGCTTACATCTTAGACAATTTAGGTAAAAAGAAAAATAACATAATTTCTATTAGTTTCGTAATTCGCCTCTTTTTTTCTATTATTACCAATATTTTTTTTTCATTATAGCCGAGCTTACGTTGTAGCTGATCGGAACGGAAATTCTAGATTTGCACTCCTTTCAATCGAAGTTGCAACATCATCTGACGCTATAAGAGATAGCGTTAGTTTGTGTTTTTATATAATTCTATATAAATATACAAGAAATATGAAAGAAGGAGCATAATATTTATTTAATTCTCATTTTTTAAGGTTGTTGAAAAACTAAGAGAAACATATGGCGATTTATATACGCATACAAATGTTATGATCACTGCTCAGCATACTCATAGCGCACCTGCTGGATATCATACTTATTGGATGTTTCAAACGGCGGCAGGTGGCGGTTTTGTCAATGCTACTTTCCAAGTATACGTTGATGCAATTGTTGATGTAAATTCATTTTTCCTTATCAATATTAACAAGCTTTCTTTAAATTTTCTCATCTATATATTACATACATCTATATATACACCAGAGTATCAAAAAAGCTCATAATAACCTTAAACCTGGAAATGTCTTATTTAACGAGGGAGACCTTCTTAACGCCAACATAAATAGAAGTCCAGCAGCTTATTATAACAATCCTAAAGAAGAGCGGGATAAATACGAATATGACGTTGAAAAGCGTATGAGTTTGTTAAAATTTGTTGCGGAAGATGGCTCCTCCATCGGCTCTTTTAGGTCTTATTCTTTTAGTATCTCCTATTGAACTAACTGAATCTAAAATTTTTAATTTAAACAGTTTCTTTCCCGTTCATACAACCAGCATGTTTAATAGCAATCACTTAGTCAGCTCAGATAACAAAGGGGTAGCCGCTCTCCTCATGGAGAAAGATTTGAATAATAATGCCTTCCCTGGTCAAGGATCAATTGTCACTTCTTTCGCTCAAAGCTGTCAAGGTGACGCTTCACCCAATGTTAATGGGTTTTATTGCGATACGGGAGAACCTTGTGATTATTGGAGTGGAGCTTGCGATGACGACGTAAAAGCTATCTTATTTTTATAGAAAAACAACAAAACTAGTTACTTTTTATGAATTTTAGGTTCGTAGATGTCAAGCTAGAGGACCAGGAAGTAATATGTATGAAAATACTGTAATTATTGGTGAAAGGCAGTATAGAAAAGCAAAAGAGTTGTTTGAATCGTCTACTGAAGTTTTACAATCCGATATTGGCTCTGTTCATCAATGGGTTAATTTTACTGGCATTGAAGTAGAAAGTAACGGACAAACGGTAATTTTATTGAAAAAATCTATACCTTTTGAAAAATAGCCGATAACACCGACTTTTTCTTTTACTCTGTTAGTATAAAACTTGTGCTCCAGCAATGGGTTACAGTTTTGCCGCAGGTGCCGTTGATGGCCCAGCTCTTGGACCACCTTTCGTTCAAGGTATTTTAAAAAGAAGAAAAATAACATTTTAATTTGATAATAATTATCTTATCATTTTCCATGGCTATTTAAGGACTAAATGAAAGTGATCCAGTTATTGATACTATTCGTGATCTGATTTTGCCTGCATCTGAAGAATTGTTAGCTTGTCATGAACCAAAACCAATCTTAATTTCATCTGGAGAAGTAACTTGAAAAAATTTTCATTATATTCATTATTTCTACTACAAGATTTTATCTATAGGCTGATGATGAATGGCCATGGCAACCGGAAGTATTACCTTTGCAAGTGTTTAGACTAGGCAGACTAATTATACTTGGCATTCCAGCAGAAGTAACGTAAGATATTTAGTCTAAAAAATATAAAAAGTTATCTTTTCACTAAATATTATCTTTGTGCCATCAAACAATATTTTTTTTTTACTTTTAAATATAGAACAATGTCATCTAGAAGATTTGTTGCTGCATCTGAACAGGTGTTCTTGTTTACATGTATAGAAGATTATTTATATTCTTATACTAAGAATGTTTACAGGTTATGAGAGAAAATGGTATTGATAACCCGAAAGTTATCGTTGCTGGCGTTACAAATATGTATATTAATTATATCGTCACACCTGAAGAATACGAGGTTAATAAGTTTTTTAAGTATTAATAATCAATGTACGATTTATTGTCATATTTTTAATGGTATTGTTACAGATACAAAGATACGAGGGAGCGTCTACTGTTTTTGGACAATATACTCTTAATGCCTATATAGAAAAGTTGAAACCTATGATCCAGTCCCTTATTCGCGTAATATAGCAAATTTCCAAAAGATATTTTTAGAATCTATTTTAAGATTTCTAATTAAATCTAATTTAATTTTATGTAGGGTGAGGCCGTTGAGCCTGGAACACCTCCTCCAGATTTGAGAGATAAACCTGAAGAAATTTTAGAACCCATTAGAACTGATCTCACCCCGAATGGATTTGACTTTGGAGATGTTTTGAATAATACAAACGAAGCTTATAAACAAAATGAAACTGTTACAGTTGTATTTGTATGCGGAAATCCAAGAAATAATTTAATGGTATTATAAATTTAGCGCTATATTTCTTTCATTAGATTTTATGATTAATAATTCTTCCCTTTTCTTTTTCAGACTGGAAATACTTTCCTAACTGTTGAAAAAGAAAATGGTGGTTCATGGACAACTGTTTTTACAGATGCTCATATCGAAACAAGATACTATTGGGAATCAAACTGCGAAGATGACGAAGGAGAAGATCCTTCGTGCGAAACGGAACAATCTTCAAAAGCAAGAATAACATGGGATATACCAATAAATCAAGATGCTGGAACTTATAGAATATCTCACTTTGGTCACGCAAGACTAGCCGATGGTACAGTTAAGCAATACGAAGGGAGAAGTGGAAACTTTGAAGTTCGTCCATTATAAAGTAACACTCCTAACACAGTTAGTGCTGATTGAAGCGCAATTTTACATAATAAAGTCATTTTATGATACATACTAATAATTAAGTATATCATATTTATATAATTCTAAGAAAAATACAATATTTTGCCAAATCTATATACTTGAATAGTAATTTATTTAGATTAAATAGAGAAGAAGATTTCCCTTGGTAACCAATAGTTATAATATACGATATACTGTATATTATATCAAGCAATAAAGATATATTGTCATATGTCCTTTAACCGAGAAATATATTGTATTTACGAAGTTCATACAAAGTGACAGCTAGAATTAGAAAAAAATGTGAATAAAATAAGAGCATAGCACAGTTGTTAGAAATACATTATAATATAATAAAAGATATATTTAAGCCTAAAAGAAATAAACTCTAAGTGCCCCATGTTAGCTTTCTAAAGAAGTTATTGTAAGAAAATTTAATATATGATCAGTGTACTTTCTCTTTTCAAAATTATTACGTAATAAGCTTTGTTTTTTTTTAAACTTTTTTCTTTTTTGGATTTTTTTTTTAAATATTCAATTAAAGATTTTCCTTATTGATTATTAAGATTTCTATATTATCCCTTTTTTTGTGATTCATTACGAAATGTATGAAAATCAATCAAAAGTATTCCTAAATGGTTCTTTTACAACTTCCAGCAATTTCTCATCATTAAATCGAACTGGATATCCTTGTCGAAATTGGAACTTATACCTCTGTAGTAGTCGAGGAATTCTTTCCATGTTACCTATAATTAAAATCAATATTAGTATTTTAATGTATCAATTAGTGAGAAAACTCCAGAAACGATAACTACTACTTACTGTCTCATCCAGAACACCTCCTTGTTGAAAATTATTTAAGAATTCTTTATAGACTCTGTTTGCACTCCACTCTCCCGATATGTACTTTGGATGCTTTTTATACTCATATTGTCTCTTTAAATCCTCTATAGTAATAACTCCATCACCAGTAACATCTAGTTTTTGGAAAGCTTTCTCAATCAATTTGATCCTGCCATCACTCATGTTAGGCTGTTTAAATTTACAAAAATTGTTCAAATTAGTTCTCAACAAATAGTGAACGTTTACAAAGGCCAATAAAACATTTATTTTATATATATAAATGTATATATATAAAATTTTATCACTAAAAGGAAAAAAATTGATCAAACCCTGATTTTTTCAATGAATTCGTTAACACTGATGTGACCACTTTTATCCTTATCGAAATATGAAAACATCTCAGTGATGTCTCCCTCGCTAATGTTGACTCCATAGTCGTGTATTCCCTGAAAAAGATGAAGAATTTAAGCGAAAGTCCAACAAAGTAACGTAATAGATAACATATAAATATATATATACAGTATATATAGTGTACGCTTATTGGGGTAATTCTATAAACGTTTAATTAAACAATAAATTATTGATTAACGGTAGTAAATGTAAAGGAAAATTTTCGAAACATAGGTGCCTATCCTACTGTTATTTTATTTATAAATGATTATATTTGTATAGAAAACTGCCAAAACTATACAGTACCTTTTTATATGTATAACAATAAAAATTTTAGAAAGACTTTATTAAAGTCTTTAAGCTTCTATTGTGGAAAAATAAAAAGATATACAGTATATCTAGATAAATTTAGGTATATTAATGGATATTCTGTACATTTAAAAGTAATGAATTATACAAAGGCATTCAATTTTTATCTATATATTATTCAAGTATTCCTATTATATTCTATAATTGTTAGAAAGTATAAAATAAAACAGAAGAAAATAAATGAATTCAACTATAATTCATTACTATTTATTAGCTTTTATTTATTTTCCTACTTTCTGCAAAGTGCCATGATTCTATTAATTCGTAAACCGACAACTTTATTATAAGATAATTCTAATAAGATTAGTATTTATTCTTGAACACGTTTTACTAAATAATATCTTACAGTTGGGTAAGCTTTTTCCTGTGTCAGAATACATATTCGCTTATATTAATATAAGAATATATAGCGTTTAGATATCTTATAAAGTGTATAAAACACGTATCACCGAGATTCGTCATGTAATCTCTAGTATGTCGTGATTTTTAACAATTGTTAGTATAACGATTAGAATATCTATCTTAAGCCTATATGCTACCTTTTATACAGCTGCTTTTAAAGAGTTTTTATTAACTTAATTAAAGGTTTGACAGTTTATTGATTAAGATTCTATAAGATATCTATAGCTTTACCTTATTAAAATCCTAATGACTAGTTTTATGAATTAAATTCAATAACTAAATAAAAAAGAGATAGAAATTTCTATTCAAATGCTAATAGTATACACCTTTATCTTCAATATGAAAGAGAGAGAAAGGCTGATGGACAAAAAAAGACTGATGTTCTAGGCTATAATCTTATATGAATTGTTAACTATAAGACTAACTATTTGTCTTTCTAACTCATGGCCAAAAATTGTAAATATATGCCATTTTTTGTCAATAGATAAATTGCATTTCTATATTGCATAAGACAGAACAAAGAAATGCAGGAGAAGAGGAAGTAGCAGGGAATGATGGGAATATATTTAGAGAAACAGTCCGTGTTTTTCTAATGAGAGATGGAAGAAGGATTGCAAGGGAGAGATTTAAAAACAATATATTATACCTTTCCAAATTCTTCTCTACTCAAATATTTGCTGCCATCGTCATCATAGATTCTAAATGTTCTGTATAGAAAATAACCAATAATTATTATTTAAAGCATATGGTACAGTTTTTTTTCTGGGCTGTTGGAAGCAGTACAGTCTATTATAGAGAAAGAAATTTTATCGAAGCAATTTTTCCACAGTTAGACATAAAAAATGTTGATAAATTTAAAGGAAAACCTTTGTATATATTAGTAAATACTAATGTACAAACCTAGATAAGCTTCTAATGCCATTTACACCTCTTTTTTTACAAGCGTCTCTCAAAAGCTGAACGCCAGCAGGCTCAGTTTCCATGTTTGTTGTATTGATTAATTCGGTTACCTGGTTCGTCGCCGACTGCTTATTGTATGAAAATTCTGTAATAAAAACTTCGTATACTGCACCTGTGCTATAACCTCTTAAAATCAATAGGCTTATTTCTAGTTGTATACACTTGAACACTATTATAGTATGTAATGAACTTTTTACAGACAAGTCTTTTGTATTATAATATGCTGTTTCTTAAGTGTTTGAACCAATGTTATTGTTTATCAGAATTTAAATATCCTAGCAACTATGGGAGTGTCTTTCAGAACGTTACATCCCATCAATTATTGATTTTTTTTCTTTTGCAAAAAGTGTTTCTTTATCGATTTACTTTTCTTATGATTTATTGCTATATGCCGATTCGCCAGTAGTTGTCTAACAAAAACCTACAAAAAAGGCTAGTCTTCTAGCGGAGGGGAACAGGAGGCGTCAATTCTCCTTAGAAATACGCCAGATGTCGTTATTTGCTTTTTTCTATCTCATACTCGATAATAATAAATACTAATAGAGAAGCTTTTAATTATGAATTGTTAGTAAATTAGTCATTAAATTTAATAAACAAAGCACAGCAAAAACTAGTAATATATTAATCTTCTTTGTGCTATTTTATAGCCATTTTAAAAATATTAGTAATATATATATATAAATAAATGACGTATGAAAACTTACATAACTGTATAAATAGTTAGTATTTTATATTCGATAAAGTAGATTATATGTTTAATTTCTTTGTTTTTTTTTAATATTAAAATTGCTAGTGCTGCTGTTGCTGTTACGGCTGTGAACTCTATTACTACTACTGCTGTTTTTTATTTTCATCTCTTTTCTACAATTTTGAACATTGAATATTTGTAATTGACATTTCTTTATATATATATATATAAATATATCATCTTTTAAAAGCAGCCTCATTCAAGCTGATGCTTCTTTTTACGATTTACAACAATAAACATTCACAGTTTGAATACTTAATAAAGGAATACATTTAAAAATGTAATAGTAATTATAAAAGTTACTAGTTGGAGAATAAAGGATGACGAGAAGGAAGAAGAAGATGAAGAAGAAGAAGAAGAAGAAGAAGAAGATAAAGCAGAAGAAAATTCAACGGATAAATATCTTTTAATTCTTTTAGTTCATAAAATTTGAACATACTTTTAATTTAAAAGCCCTATTATAGGAAGAAATTATTATAACTTTATTATTTTTGATAGAAGAAACCTCAATAATTCTCTATATATTCCCTTTATTTACAAGATCTTTAGTGTTTGTCTGCTTAGTCGCTCCAATATGTCTTCTCTCAGTCTTACTTAACATCAACCATCTTGTACCGAATTGGGCTGCAATTAAGTTTAGAGCCATGAAGCCAAAGAGTACAACAAAAGCACACTTAGACCAAACATTAACCGTTACTGCATAAATTGCCAAACTGATAGAAACTCCTAACAATGTTGATAGGTGAGAAGCTGCCAGACTGACAGCCAACAGTTTACCAATCTCATCACTATCAACTAATTGGGTACAAGCTCCTCTAATGGTTGATAGAACTCCCCCACCACCAGCTCCGATTAGTGTAGCTAAGAAAAGAGTCCAGGTACTAGTAGCACCCCACCAAATAACCAAAAGTTCCAACGACTTGCAGAATATGCCAGTTAGAATAATCTTTCTATCATCCACACCTTTAGACTGAAGTGTAGGAAGGATTAATATACAGACTATCGCTAATCCTCCGAACGTAGCTGCTCTCCAATAACAATAAGTAGCCCTTTTTAAATATTTAGTAATTAAATATTTGACCAAAACCTGACAATATTAACGTTAAATAGATTTAATTATCGAATTTTAGAATAATTCTTATAAATATTTAAAGAGGGAGACTTTGTCCATAGCAATGGTTTTCTTCTACAAAAGACAAGAACTAATTCTTCGGTAGCTGAAATGCAAGATTTATGAACACATCCCATGAAAATAAGCAACCAAAGCGCGTGTTTTCCTTCTCTTTCCTTTCTCAGAGTCTCAAAAGTTTTCTTTGCTTCGCTCATTTCACAGCCGTTACTCTTCTCATGCTCTTCTCTCTTAGAAAAAACTATGGACAAAACTGTCCCTAAGATTAATACCAACACAACGATATAAACTGATCCTCCACCATCGTAATCAACTAATGAAGCTGCTAATAATGAGCCGAATAAATTAGCTACATTTTGCACACCTGAGAATAATGTATAATTTCTTAGCCATCCAATAAAACCAATATTCTAATTGGTCAATACACAAACAATGTAAATGATACAAATTAGCTATGTCTATAATTAATATAGTTTAACTAATCATGAAAAGAGATGCAACAAATTGAAACTTTTCTGTTTGTCTTTTAACACGTTTTCCTTTCTTTCTCTCTCTTTCTCTCTCTCTCTCATTATTAATATAGACTAGTTGTTTGTTTTTCTCATTTAAATGACAATAGGTCCTTTCTAAGGTAAAAATTAAAAAAGAAACAATAGTCATATTTGAAATATTCAATAGGGAAAGAAGAGGAAAATGGAAAAAGAAGAAAAGTAAGTATTTCTAAGGAAAAGGATTAGAAAATTTCATATTTTAATATTCCATTAAAGTTCAAAATTATGTTTTCCACGAAAATTTCCCTCTTTACTTCTAAATAGATGTACTGACGCCAAACTAAATGTTTTCTTTATATTTGATACTCTAGTAATTTTTTATCTTTGTACATTTTATTCTTAAAGTTAATCTCTTAAGAAATTACACATACCCTCCATAACATTATATCTCTTTGTTCTATTATCTTCTCCTATTCTATCGGCAAGATATCCAAAACAGGCTACACTTAGCAAAAATCCAGGTGCTAAACTTCCTTGAACAAATCCACTTATCAGTAACGGAATGCCATAACTTTTTCCCAGAATAGCTGTATCTACCATTGCTAAAATTGAAGAAATAACAGTACCAAAACATACCATTAACATTGGAGTTCTTCTACCAATTTTATCACTGCTAGCCCCAAAGATTATCCCTAGAATGAGTGTAGGAATTTCCAAGCAAGTTTTATATCCCATAAGATAAGTAGAAGATCTGGCTTGTAAAAGTTTATTATTTATATTATCACTTGAACAGTTAACTCTATCAAGTAAGTCCCAACACGATCGTTCATAGAGTAGAAGTTTAGTAACTGGCTCCTTAGCCTTATCAGCGGTATCGTAAAAGAATAGAACAATTTCCGCCAAATATGAGGAGAGAAAATCACTAATACATGCCCAAGTCATTTCCTTGAACAAAATAACTGTTTATAATCTAAACGATGAAATATGCACAGCTATTGTTTTGTTGAATGAACTTTTGCGAATGATGATAATAATATAATGTCTTCATAATAATATAATTATGCTGACATTAAATATTATAATAAATTAGTATATATATATATATATATGTCTATATATAGATATATATATAAAAACAGTATATATATATATATATGTATATATTTATATATATAAATTTTATTCATATATATTATATATAAATATTCAAATTCTTATTATGCAAACCTCCACGCTTTATAAAAATGTCTTCAGTATATTTAAATAGCTTCAATATTCAATGTCTATGACTACGGCATAATAAATCTATTATTATATGGTAATTTCATTCGCGTATTACATTAAATATGATTACTATCCTTCACCAGAAATTTATTTAAGTAAGATAAATCCTTCGATGTCTTAAACGATCAAGAAATTAGAGAGGATGTCTCTACATGTAAAAGACAAAAAATAGATGAAACTGAAGTTGATAAAAAATAATAATCCTTTGAGAATTATTTCCTATCAGATTATCGTCAAAAAGGGAAGCAGTAAGGGTTTACTAGAGAATTAATATTTACATATACGAATAGTTATTGCTTGATAGAAAATTTATAGACATTTTTTTACTCCAACACAAGTAAACATAGGAAATAAAGTAAAGTCAATCAGAACTTAGTAATTTATTATATGCCTCCTACTCTTGTTTAAACAACTTTCTCATAGTTTTCTTTGTTTCTATTGTCTTTAACAAGTCTTCAGGCATAATATAGTAAATTTTTTCTCCTATACCAGTTTATAGAGCATATGTTGATTATATCTAATTAAATTTGAATGAGTACTAAAATATCAGACATGTCTTTTTTTACAAAAAAAACAAAGGTAGATTGATCATGTTTCATATTCATTGCTGTACTATGAATATCGATGTATTAAATAAATGAATATTATACAGATGTACAACATATACTCACTATAAATACAGTATATATTAGTATGCGTGCGTATGTTACATCTTTTGTTACTACTTTTCTTGTTTCTTATTTTAACGAATTGTAGAGTTCTCATACTTAATAAATAAAAATAATCAGGCCTCTCATTATTGCCCTTCTCAGCTAATATACTAAAAAGAAATTTAAGAGGAGAAAGTTTTTTATAACCCTTTGAAGATTAACTAGTAGATTTCCTAAGTTTCATCCCTCTTGAGACTCTTTACGTATTAAATAGAAAAAAAAAAGCATTTTTCTACAAAGGTATTATTTTAGAAAAAAGTAGTAATACTTGTTTTCTATGTACTTTTACATTTCTATTCATAGACGGTTAATTCTATATATCCTTCGTGTATTTACAAATTTATCTTTTTCCTCTAAACGGAATATCTATATTCTTTATATATCTTTTTCTTTTCAAGGAAATATGAGTAAACTGCAAATTAATAGGTCAACTATAACAATAAGAACTCTAAATGTTATATTTCTTCAAAGAAAACTTTAATGAAATTTGTCTATTTTTATAAAAAATATGTCTGTTGGATAGTTTTAGTATAGAAAGAATATTCTATTCAATATCATTCTGTAGCTGTTCAATAAGATAACAAGAAATATATATACATATATATATATAAATTAGTATATACTGTATATACTATAAATACAGTTGACAATTTGTTACAAATGTAAAATATGATTCATAAAATCAAAATCTAAATATAAATAGTCTGTTTTTTCAGTTTTCTAAAATCTTGCTATAATCATACATATTGTCTTTCTCTAGCTATTTTTAACATTTACAATATTAGTGATTGTTTTATAATTATTACTATTGTTAATAATTAGCTAAATACACTGATAAATAATTAATATATATATATATATATACATAGATTTTTCACATTTAATATACTTTAATTGCTTATTTGTTTGTTTTTTTTTTCTAATTTATCACCAAGCTTTTTAATTTATATTTCAAGTAGTATTATTCTAATGTTAACTATACTCCATAAGTCTATCAATTGATTCATTAACCAAGAGCAAGTGATTTATTTATTATAATCTTTTTTCAACAATGATATGTATATTTCATTTTTATATCTTGAAATATTAATGATTCCAAGTACTTAACTCAATGTAATATACACGAAACAATCAAATACCATATATGATAATTAATTACACTGCTCTTTGTTAAATTCGCCATCTATTGGTCATTTTAAATGTAGTTGTATTTGTTGAGAATAAATACAATATTCTTTAGTTATCCTTTAAAAGGATGCTTTTATAATGGACATTTTATTTCTTCGCATTCCCAAAAGCTTTTATTCGTATGACGCACAGTGAAGTAGATGATTGTGCTGACTAAGCCAATATGAAGAAAATTCTTTCTTTTCCTAATAAATTATTAATATGTAAATTAATTTTCTAATAAAACAAATGAAATGTGTTGACAACCCAATAAAATATATCACGTAACTGGTAAATATGTATATGTTAGGAAGCATAACATAAGATATTCACTATAAGGGTATATACTGTTCACAGGAAGCTAAAGTCACCTGTAGGGCACTAAGAGCTAAAAACAAAAAAACTTAGAATGACTACAAAATTTCCAAAGAATCTATTAATTAAAAGGGCAAAAGTAAGAATTTAATCTTATTTTTAAAGTAATAAAGCATAAATAATTTATGCCAATAATTCCCTTCCTCAATAATTTAAAACAGTATTCTGTGAGAATATTTACAAGCAAACCATCATCTTTAATAAACTACACGAAAGATAATTAAGTTTTAATTAAATAACGTTATTGACACTTTAGATAGGAGGTCAGTTTTTTTCGAAACACTCTTCAATAAGTCAAGAGAATTAAATGGGAGTTACTTAATTATTCTAAAAATCTAATTTAACATTCTTAATGACATAGCCTTTTGAAAAAAAACACTATGGAAGTGGTATTAAATTAAATTTAAAAGAGAAGATATTTAAGTATGAGGGAGTGGGTAGGAGAGGAGAGTTCGGAAGACTCTAGCAAAAGAAAATGCAGTTTACGAAAACTTTCGGTAGATGGCGATATTTAACAAGATATTTTTGAGTTTTCTCTCTCTTCCTTTTCAAGTGATAACTAAGATAATACTTCTGTATTCACATTATTCCATTCGAATAGCTATCAATTTACTATAGTATCTATAAACAGGTGTCTTATTAGACTAAAATTTTAATAAATTAGCTGACAATCTCATTAGCTAATATATATTAATAAAGTATGAAAAATATTTCAGCAATCATTTCACCAGGCACTTTAAATTTTTTCAATTGCCTAGCTTTACAAAAAAAGCAACAACAAAAGAAAGAAACACCTGCCATTCGAAATGAATTATTCAAAATTACCGTTTTATCATAGTTTATTGTTTTTAATTAGTTCAGTAAGTATTAATTATAAAGATAATAAATAGAAAACAAATATTATATAGTCTATCTTTGATCTTTCTTATGTTAGATAACATTCACTTGTTAGTTCTTATTCTAATTTATTCGTTTTTTAACGACTGTTCCATTTAGATTATTAATATCTATAGAAGAGAAATTACACATCAAGCAAAATATTGAACAAGTAGTTTTCCAAGGTCCTTAAGTGCGAAACACTTTTTACCTTTCTAAAACATTTCAATTAGCGAAGAATTCTTGGCAAACATTATATAGAGATAAAGGTCAAAAGCAAGAAGAATCCGGGATCTTTAACCAGGCTTCAGTGATTTTTAATCTAATTGGCGATAATCAATACCCCACTAACTTCAGCTTAGGCACTATAATAATTCATCATAAATCAAATTTCTTCACTTATTTTCCTCTCTTATTGGATGATGTAATCAGAAAAATAATCTATTGTAGAACTATGTAACATCCGTACAACGAACAATAACCAATCAATTGCGTAAGAGTTTATCTTACGCAATCTATAATAATATATTGGAATGGAACAAATCATTTTTTTTCTTACTTGTTCCTTGTCTTAAGAAGAACTACAAAATAATTGCAAAAGAATGTATATTATTTCCCATCTAAATAACTATTTACAACATGTCCCATTAATATTCATGACTCTTCTTGTCCATTTTCCATGTTCTCCATAAGATGAATTTCCACTTCATAGTGATCGTTATTATTACTATTATTATTCCCACAATCAGATGACTCGTCATCTTCTCTATATAATAACAAAAATATAATCGAGTTGATCCTTGTTGACCCCTAAAAATTAATTTCAATAGGAAAAAGTAATAATAACCTTGAACAATCCATACACATCTTCAGCATTACAATAGCTAAAAATAATATAAATAATAGGGTCATAACAAATAAAAACGTGTAAAGTCCAAATTGAAAAGCCTGCAAAAATCTTTTAATTAATAATTATTACAATTAAAAGGATTATTATAGAAAATATCAACTTACCATTATTTCTTTTCTAATTGTAATTTTCTAATATTTTTTCAAAAGGTTACGTAATAAAAAAATCAGAAGAATTAGCAAGAGAAAAAAATCCTTCTCTAACTTTCTCTCTCACCTAGAAAATCGTCGAAAATAGAGTTTTAACAAAAAAAATCCAGTATATATGTATACCATGTAACTCTGTCGGACTTCTCTCTTAAATGGACTTGGAGAAGTTATTAGAGAGACTCCACGCAAACTACTAGCTGAGAAAGAGAAATCATTTTAAGACTCTTTCGCTGGGTAAACTATTTCCTTAACGTCTTTTTTTAGCGGTTACGAATAATTATATTATAGGTATTTTTTTCAAACTTTAATTAGAAACAAACATCAAATAAAATACCTTTAAGCTAAAAAGAAAATAAGCAATAGAAGGGAAAAGATGATGAAAATCATATCGAACTGTTTAGCTTTAATCCTTCTAGTCATATAAAAACACTTATGTATGAGAAACGTCTTCACAGAAGCTAAATTTGACCTTTCATCAAGCGTAATGTAAATTATTACATAAGAATACTTATTTCAGAAATGATACAATGAAAGAGAAACTTAACGTAAGTAGTCATCAGAGTAGAAGATGATCATCAATATTAGTTAGGGGAAAATAATATTCTTTACAGCTTAACTTGAGAAGTACATCGTTTAAAATAAAATTGAAGATTGTCTTTCTCATTTTCATCTCCTTCTTCATCTTCTTCGTTTTAATTAAGATCGTCTCATTTATAACGGAGAATGAAAATTCGACGTCTACCTCTTTATTTTTACATGTACTGCAACATTTTTAGTATTAAATATACGTGTATATGAATAGTATGTATATAAATATTTATGTGTATATTGTATAGAGGGAACTGACTAAGTCTACTCCAATGGTCTCTATATGTAAATCTCTTTAAGTACCATAAAGATAAAGTTTTAACTACAATATAATAATGTTATTGTTAATTATTTGATATGATAATATCGAATTTCCGTTGTTTTATCTATAATTAAAGTAAAAAGAATAACGAAGGTTTAATTTTTAAACATATTATTGTTAAGTCTATTTGTATCCATTAAAATCTATGTTGTCAATTATTCACGCTTATTGTATACTGATACGGTATCAAGCTAGTTATCGATTACTTCCTACGCATAATTCATGAAAGATAACTAGCAATAATATTTTAAACATTATCAATAGCATAATTAGGTTACGAATAAGTCATATAGAGCATAACTATAGCCATCTAGTGGAAATAGAAAAAGATACTTTGTATGGTCTTGAAGAAATTGTTTATGTGTATTCATCAAGGATCTCTATCTATACAATAAATAACGAATTCTTAGATGATTAAATCTATTGAAGAAGAGACGTTGACGATAATGATAATGTTAGAATTATAATTATGATAGAATGATTAAAAATGAAAGATAAATAATATAATAAACAAGTAAATATTGTAGGTTTGACAAATATTATTCTATATTTAGTTTGTATCACGTAAGATAAAAGAGAAAAAAATTCGTTCAAAACGTCACATATTGAACGGACAACATTATGCAAGTGTTGAAATATTGAAAAATATCGTTACTAGTTAAAGAGTACAATTATTGCTGAAATCTTCCTACACAAAAAAACTAGCTTTTTTCGTTCTTTTTATACACAACGGAATGTTTTTTTTTTGTTTTTTACATATAACATTATCCCGATTAATGGTTTCTTTTGCGGAATGAGATTATCGTTTGTTTTGCAAATAAACAAGTCTTAAATACAAATGATTATATAATGAATAGATGAACAGATAATAAGGAACACAAGCTATATGCATTTTAATAAAAAATAAAAACCCATTTTAGGATACCAGTCTATTTCATTCATACAGCACCAATCTAATACTTTTTAATACTGAACGCTCGTACGGGTTTGATACTAATCAGCACCATCTATCAGGTTAGGGAGCAACTTTCACACTACAAAATAGTTTTAAGCAGTTTTGGCCACTGGAAAGTGAAAAAACATAATAAAATAAGGCTTTAAAACGAATTGGATAAACTTTCACTAATTTCCCATGCTTTTCCTTTGTAATGATGTTCATAATTTCAACTTAAAAAGCAGTTTTAAAAAAAAGAAAGTTAAAGGAAATCAATAGGAAATATAGAAAATTTTCCCAATTGTCTTATGTTAAATAGATAATAATAATAATAATAATACTACATTCACAACACTTAGTTACATAATTTTTCCTGTACAATTAATACTGAGTTCGGTAAAACGCAATGGGAGGAGAAATTTAAAGCTTGAATATGTCACGTGACTAGATCACTCATCCAATCAACTAAGAGTATACTAAATAGCATAGGCAGTGTAACGCTGGTTTTTTGTCTTTACACTATCGGAAGACCTTTGGATTTTGTCCTTAACATAAATGCATATGTCTGTACATTAATACATGAAATAAACAAATCAAAGTTTTAAATAGACTGGTATCCGACACCTGAGTTGGCACACAACCAAAAATAATGAAATAAAAACAAAAGCAAGATGTTGCATAGATGACTAAATAGAACAAAAGTTAACACTCGACCAGCATTTTTTCATCAATAAAAATGACCACTAAAACAACAACGAGCAGTGAGGCTTAAGTACAAGATTGTACGAGGTTGTGCTGTACAAAAATTGAAAGGAAGTACATAGATTATTTAATTGTATGCATATTTTTTTTTCTACATATGGTACGCTTCAAAGAGGTAAATCCGAAATAACTATCAGCACGACCTTGCACTCGTCCTTTCATTCCGACTCACTGAATAACCAGAGAAAAGTAGGTCACTCTGCTACAATTAGAGGAATCTGGGGCGTCGGTGATGCTTGAGTGACACCCTTACAGTATTTATATCTGTTGTTCATGTGTTGACTGTATGAACCGGAATGACTAAAGCGTTTTCCACACTTTTTACAAACGAACGGCTTCTCTCCAGAATGTAGACGGACATGTTCAGTTAGATGATGTTTGTGTTTGAACGCTTTTCCACATTCAGTACAACTGAAGGGTCTTTGACCTGTAACATCAAGAATCTCTTATAATAAAAACCAAGAAAATGATGTAAAAAAAAAAGAGAGAAACCATAATCAGATATAAAGAAATGTGCATTTATTTTTTCATACAATTTCGTATAATTTTTCAACTTTTGTGTGATTTTTCAGATACTTAATTTTTTTGTGAACAAAACGTCTTAAATATGTAAAAAGAATTAGTAAGAAATCTTAATAGTTCATAATCAACACTTTGCCTCACTCACTAATTGAATTTAGGAGAAATAATCAAGATAGAAGTGATAGAAATCAAATAGTCAAAAACACCAGTAATTAAAAGATTCCGTTTCCTTTTTAACTTACTCTTTCCATGTAATGTTGATATTGCATCAAGTATAAATGATGCATGACTGCTATTATTGTTAGTTAATAATATGGCGGTTTAAAAATTGACGAATAGGAATATTTTTTAACAATATATTGATTGGATATTAATTTTACGTTGATATTATTAACGAGAAACTTACCAGAATGCTCATATTTATGGCGAGCCAGCGAACTTTGTTTCGAAAACGTTTTATCACACTGGTCGCACGCGTAAATTCCTCCTCCATCTTCACCCTCTAAACGATGAGCTTTCCAACAACGTCGTTTCTTTTTTGATTCTTCAGCTACATCTTGATTTTCGGCCTAGTTTTGCGAAAAAGTAAATATTATTATATTGATAATAAGGTTTTGTTCATTATTTCTGAATTTATGAATAACTTACCACTTTCCAAGTTCTTTTATGCTCTCGGCCGAATGAACTTTGTTCGACGTGAGAGGGAATCGATTCTCCGCTTGCCGTAGAGTTAAAACTGGAGGAATTTGCTTCGCTCATCGAATCTTCGCTATCGCCACTAATTTGCATATCAGGGAAAACAGGGCTGTGCGTATGATGCAAACCCAAATTTTGAAGAGGCGGTGGAGTAGGTGATCTTAAAGTATGCGTATTTTCCATTGGTTGCTTCTTTTTTAAGGAAAGGTCCAAAGGTTCGGTTTGCGGTGTAGCTTCTACTGGCTTGGTAATAACTCCAACCGAAGAACAAACATTCGGTGATGGAGGTATACTTTTCCCTTGTTTTCGATCACGCGCTCGCATATTTTGAAACCAAACTTGAACTACCCGCTTCGAGAATCCAATAGATTGCGAAATGCCTACCAGTTCCTCTCTAAGAAAGAAAAATAAAAGGTCTGAAATTTGTTATACTACGTTGAAAGACGTTTGACGTTTAGGGGAAAGTAAAGGGGCGAACGAGCTTGTTTACAGCAGCGACATCTGTGATATATCTACGTACTTTGTCGCTTTTTCACCTTTTATTACGCAAGATAAATAAATAATAATGGTTTTCATAGATAAACTTACCTATTTGGCCATGGGTTAGTTGCGTAGAATTTCTTCAAATACTGTAATTGATCTTCGCTAAATAAAGATCTAATACGGCACTTCCTATCTTGTTCAGACGTTTGGAGAAGAGGTTGCGTTGACGAATTACACCCGCTATAGCGTTCGTGCTGGTGCTTTTCTACCGCATTCGGAAACGAAGTTTTGCAGTAGGAACAATCAAAAGTGCCGCCATTTTGAACTCGTTTCGAACAACGACTGTTCTCGTGCTGAAATCTCAGGAGAGCGCTCTCGAACGTTTCGTCGCAGTATTTACAAGACAGCTTTTCCCCAAGAACCTGAGTGAAATATTTGCTTATATTAGTTACTTTCATTATGTTTTGTTGAAAAAAAGTACAAAGGTTGGAACTATTATCACCAATTAACGAAATGTATCAATTTTTAACTTAATCCTAAGATTTTAACTAAAAAGATAACTATTTAGGGATTACAATACATATATATCTATTTTATAAATATAAAGATATATACATTAGGTGTTGACTAATATTCTAAATAATATTATATTATATTTGTATAACGCGACAAAGTATGAAATTGCTTACCTTTTTCTCTACACTCGATAATATATCGGCTATGACATCTTTGGCAGCGTTTTTGGCAGCGTTTTTTCCTTCTTCCTCTTCGTCGCCACTGGAAACTTCCTCCTCTTCCTCGTCTTCGGGAATCTTCTTTTGCACCATTTTAGGCATAAGAGGTAAGTGTCCAAAGCCAGCCGGAAAAAACGGGTATATCGGATTTCCAGTCTGCAAATACGGTCTGACGGCATTAATATAATTGAGCGCCACCAGGTGTCCACCAGTCGGATCGAACATTTGCGTGAAACGACGATTTCCCGCAAGAATCTTCTCCTGTCGACGTTGCTGACCCAGTTTGCTTGTATAGAAGCACTTTTTAGAGCTCATATGGCTACTGTATGAGCCGGAGTGACTGAATCGTTTGCCACAATTAGTGCATGAAAAAGGTTTTTCGCCCGAATGAATTCGAACATGTTCCTTAAGATGATGCTTGAACTTGAACGCCTTACCACATTCGTCGCATTTGAATCTGTTGATAATTAATATTATATTACATTATCTGTCTCATTACACGTTGGTATTGAATTACGTCCGAAAAATGCCGTTATATTATCTTACCTGCGTATGTCATCACAATTACTACCTGGCATAATACGTTTAATTGAGGCGAAGTACGCAATATAAACTACTAACGTTTTCACAATATATTATTCCAACAAAATATACTAATTAAACAGTTTATCAACTGTGATTAATCAGTAAAAGTTCTTTGTTTACACAATAAATCATTCTATATAAGAGAATTTATCAAAATATTATGATTTCTTCAAAATATTCAATTATATTCGTTTACAATCTTTTAATTTTGAATTGAATTTTTCAAATTAAACACTTTCTATAAATAGACTTTTAATATTTTCCATAATTGCTAATATTTCTATTATTTATATCATATATTTTAAGTTTTACTAGTTATATTCTTTTTCTTAGTCCTAGTTGTCTTGTTTTTGTTAAGTTGATAGGAAAAGTAAAGAGTTTACAATAGAATTTACCTTCTAAGATCAGAACTTTCATCGTGAGAGATCATATGCCGTTGTAGGCGATAAACGTTAGCGAAGGATTTGTGACAAACTGCACAAATTTGTGACTGCGGCGAATGTAAGGCTGAATGACGATCTAATTCTTCCTCCGTCGCGAAAAATGCTGAACATTTAACGCATTTGAAGGTAGAGTCTGAAGACAAAAACAAAATTTTAAGCAATGCCAAACTGTTGTCATAAGCGACATCTCCAGTTTCATATTTGATCATACCTCTAGATGTCGCTGCTCGTTCGTGCGCGTCCATATGATGCGCTAATTCACCAGAAGTGGAGAATTGTTTCTCACAGATCGTGCATTTTTTCTGTTCTCCGTCGTCTGTTCATATGAAACAAAGAATAAAATTAATTAACTCTTTCTCAAAATATCTTCATTCTTATCATGAAAGAAAAAAGTTTATTCAATGGGTACTATTAACAGGACACACTTTACAAAAGTGCATTAAGCCGTTAATTAGTTTAAATTACAAAAATTCTCACTTTTAAATATTAATTAAGCGCAACAGATCAGATAGGAAGATTTTAAATATTCTGTACACCTTGGAAGATAGGATAGCACAGAAAGGAACCACCCTCTAGATGGCGTATTACATTTGAGGGAAAATATAATAATGTATTCGTAATGCGGATATAAATTAGCAAAATCATAGTTGATTTATTAGCGACATAATCTGGAAGATTTTCTCTATAAAATATGGATATTTATCAAATATTATTACTGAAAAGCCATCTGCAGACGAAAGAGCTATCCTGTATCTAGGTAAATTGTCGCGAATGATTGCAAAAGAAAGTACCATTAAAATCGAATTTCTCTCGGAACCACCCTGCTGATAAAAAGAAAAACACAAGATACGAAAAGATCAATTTCCGATAGGCTAATTCCTTTCAAAATCCAAACAAACACACGAGAATCGAGAAAGTTAAGATAAGAGACTTTCGAAAAAAGTGCCTGATAAAGATAATACAATCGTGTTATTCTACACCAAACAGATGCTTTTTTTCGTAGACAAAGAAGGGTAAAACTATTTCAGTCTTAAAAAATACTTAATAACAACACGCGCCATAAATCCTCACAGCAAACACAGTACAATACGAGAAAAATGAAAAGATTAACAACTAAAAGGTATATAAACCTGCTTCAAATTGTACAGGTGAAGTATGTTGAAAAGTAGCGACGACCATTTTCTATTCTACTATTTTTTCTATCTAGGCACCGAAATGCGGAGAAATCAACGGGAAAACGCACGCTTCACCTTCTCTTCGAGGAAAATGACGACAAGAGTTCCCCGCTCAGGGGTTTTATAGCAAATGCTATTGGGTTTTTGCGAGAACGAACTAACAGTTAAAACACGCCCACATCTATATACGCTTTCTTTAATACTATACCTGAAAGGTTTTGCTAGAGCGAACTAAGGTAGTTTAATTATGATACAGCTATACCGCTTTTTTCATCTATTTTATGTCACACAAAGGTAGCGGTAGAGAGTAGCGATTGGACAATCGATCAGGTAAAAATATCCAATCATAAAATACCTGGTTGATTGACATATAGGGCGGATCGAAATTTTTTATATTTTGCCAAGAAAGTGTTACTTATTTTTCGTTAAAGCTCGATATTGTTGTAAATTTATCAAATTAAGATATAAGCTAAGTGAAGTATTACGCTTCAAGGAAAGATCGACTTGTATTTATTTATAGAATTTTTTCTTCTCATATATATGGACCGCTTGTGGTCCGCTTAATTGAGCGTAAAAATGTTTTAACATTCGTGCATCAAATATTTAAACGAGAGTATTTGGGACAATTATATAAAAAATATATAATTATTAAAATTATACTTTTTATTAGTTTTGGAGATAAAGTAAATGAAGAGCGAGTGAGAGAGAGAGAGAGAGAGAGAAAAAAGGACCTAATTAAGTTTTTAACTTTAAACTGATGAATAGCTTAAATTATGCAATTACAGAGGTTTTTATACAAGTATGTTTTTTTTAAATAGACTGTAAATAATAACCTAAATGTTCTGTTATAAAGTGTTACTTTTGAAAATTTCTATCTATATAGTTAATTTATATGCAAAGCTCTGTATTTAATCAAGAGTCATCAGTCTCCCGTAGCAGTTGGGAATACAGCATGAATTTTCAATGAATGAAATTAATACGTCTTTTTTCTTCAAATTACAACTGCGGCTTGTCTATATAACTCAATATTTTATCTTTCTATATATCCTATGATCAAATTACGAGAGTCTTGTTAATCTCAAGGATATAAAAGCCTATAAAGGAGAAACTATCATTAATATATAAAAGGCGTGATAAACCGTAAATTAATATATGAAAGCTGCTTTGCAGGGATAGAGCAGAGTACTTTCAGAATGCATTATACTTTACATTAATATTTTGTAAAAAACAACACTTTAAAGAAGATTTTAAAAGGTATAAATGAGAGTTGTTTTTAAGAACATATCAAAATAGAAACGTATATAAAAAGACGATATAACCTTTCCGGACACCCCTTAATGCAAACGTTTGTAAATCGTCCTTTGTCGCGCACGTGCAAGTGGGAGTGGAGAATTTCTTGACAGTTCTCTATAAAACAAGGCAATGCTTTTTGCGACGATTTTTCGTCGTCTTGGTAACTTCGATTTTTTCCTCTTTTGGAATCAATTAGCGCTCGCGCAAACAGGTTTTTGTTAAAACATCAAAAAACGCGACAATGATAAGAATCAACGATATAACGGTGAAGTACTCTCTAATCGTTGACTTTCGCTCTTCAAAGTTGAATGCAATACAAACTTGGGGTGAGAGAAAATTTAACGAGAACGTGTCAATTGTTTTCATTTTGGTGCTTTCTTCATCTCTCATAGGACTTTCTAATCGGTGTTCTCTAATTTAATTTTTTTTTTAACTATAAAATATCAGCTTATGATTATCTTATAAAAACATTAAAACAATATTGACGCAGGTGCTGCAACTATTAAGAATAAGGATAAATACAATTTTTACATTTGTAGGAATAAATCCATACCCTGAATAAATACTGTTGAAACAAAGCCCTTATTTCCGCCATTAGGCCCACATATGACATCCATCAGGAACTGCACATTGTAAACAAAACAAGAATACAAAGCCTGATGGCGCCGCAATTAGCAGCAAATTTGTAAACCAACAAAACCTGACAAAAAGAGAATTAAAGTACAAAGAAAGGAATAAAGTGGTGAACAATTCGGATATTAAATCGTGGCGACAAAAGTTTTCCGCATCATCACCAGCAGCCCTCTTTTTCTGAAAATCACTTTTCACCTTTAATTAAATTCGCGTCATCTACATACATCACTTTTCCATCAAAGCTATAAAGATCAAACGCGACGATTGTTTAACGAAACAATAGACGCCTTTGAACGTTCTCTGACGGGATTTTTCCTCAACCCACGTGCCAGATGTCCTAAGCTGCATCAAAGAAAACAAACGCCTGTTTGCATTTGACAAACTTTATATATGCGTCGACTGGCTTTAAGTGTATTGAGAAACGTGAGTAGAAATAACCATACACCTTCGATCATGAATAACATTGTAAAACGCTGATAAAAGTAGAGTAGAGCACGCTCAAAGAAAGTTTTTAGGGAATGGGGGGAAGGGAGGTCAACCTTTAATTAAAATTGTCAAAAGTTATCCTGAGGATTTATGCAACGCCAAACACATCTATGAGGCTTGACTAAAGTTAGACTAGCCATTAAATGAATTGGAAAAATTGTGCAGCACCAATGATACAATAAATCCAAATCAACTCAAGAAAGCTAAGGCAATTTTACGGTTTCTTGTTCTTACGAGTTTCTTTGGGTATAATTTATAAGCCGAAATATTAAATGTATCGGAAATATGGTCACTTTGAAATTAGACATTATTCCAATTGCCTTCCTTAAATCTTAAAGCATGACCAACTCTCAAAAAACTTTATGGGAAAACTTTCAGATTTAACCCCGAGTTGAAGGGTTTTAAGTAGCTCCAAACTGGTCTTTTGTTCGTGATTTTAGTCTTCGTACCGTGACGAAATGGAGGTAATATAGGAACCATCGGTCATTCTCTAACACTTGACCTTGAAATAAGGGTTAGACAAGGTCAAGATGACCATTGACGCCGTCCCATTGTGAACGCACGTGACCAGGTGTCAAAACGTTGATTGACTTACGTCGTTTACAGACCACATGAATATTAATGTTAAAGAGCAATTAAGGTTGCTTGAACAACGAGTTAGGAGCATACTTGAAAGAGGTAATTACAGGAAGTGCAGATCACGTGGCCGGAAGTATTTTGTAGCTATACAGGCACCAGTATTTGACTGGTATAATTGTCGTCTTCCGTCCACAAGTCCATTCCTCTTTTTTACATTGTCGTTAATATAATCGTTCAATAATTTTTGTGATATTTCCATCAAAAAAATTTCTTTGACATTTTCATTGTTCAGAGTAATACGTCTTCCATTTGAACTTGTAAAAGGGGGCGTTATTTTGTCCGTTGTTTTTACTCTCTTAAACAAATACATTTTTATGTGGGAAAAAGAAAAATTGATGAAAAGTGCGATTGGTAAAATTTGAATAAATATTGGCAAATTCGGTAAGAGTATCTATAAAAATGACAATTTTAGTAAGAGAATTCTTTTACTTCAAAGCTTTAGTAACTTCAATAAAGAAAACCTCTTTTGTAAGGTTTACCAGAATCGATTTTTATCTGTCCTCTAATCCGTAGAATTGATTTAATATTAAGTTAGAAAAATAATAAACCTCTCTAGACAATAATAAAGAAGTTCTCTACCTTTGACCTCATTCTTTTCTAATAATATATTGGAGGCGGTAGCTTACAGAAAAAGATAAATAAGCAATATCTAGTTAATTTACTACAAAATATAATTGAGTTCATCAACCAAGAACGATTAGAAATAGACTACTTCCTCATCTAAAGCAGTTATTCTTTCCTATGTCATTGTAGACTATATTCTTGTTTGTATATAATATAAGAGAGAAAAGATGGATCTACAAAGAAATTATTAGTTTGTCTTCCTTCGATGATGCCCTCGCCAACAAAGCCGTTGATACTGGATTTTTAATACAAAGTTTATCAATCTTACTCTTTTCCCTAACGCATATATTGCAATAGTTTAATATATTTTTCACAGAATTCTAATTAACCTAAATTTTATACTAAGCAACTATATACTTTTTATTAATATAATTGTATACACAAAGCTGACTTCCTTTAAAGAAAACTATAATTTCCTCTTGTGATTTTTGACGATAAGTAGAAAAACACCAAGCTCTATATTTTTCTATTCGAAATTCACTAACTCGTTAATCTATAAATCAAAACGGCCGAACAAAAAGTGAGCAATAATTTCTGACACGTGCACACATAAAAACGCAAAGTCGACGCCTTTTTCAATAAATTCAAAGAGGGAAAGAGATCAAAAGATAAAAGGAAAGAGCGTCTCCAACATGGGAATTTCAACAATTTCAGCAAACAATGGTAAAGGAGGGAGAAAAATGGGGCTGCAACGTCAACTGCAGAATTTTTTCGAAACGATACGTTGATTAGATTACTCGCTTTGTGTACACGGCGTTTCCAAGATGGCGGATACAGGCATTATTATTAAGGTAAACTGCTCATACATATGACAAACCTGACGTCATATTATCTTCTCAGGTACTCGTGCGCATGCGTGTCGGTTTAGGTTAAATTTATCCAGGTACATAATTATCTAAACAATCCAATATTTTCTTTGAAAAACTAACCGAAGTTGGAAGTTTTTCTCGTCAGACACGCGAACGTCGGAGGGCGAGGAGCGTCGAAATACGACGCCCGATATGCAAATCAAGTGACGCCCCGAATTTGGCTGCATCGATTATTTAAAGCGCCACCTATTGCAGAAATGTCAGCACTTTATTAGGCTTAGACAGAAAGAGAGAAATGCCGAATGAAAGGAAAACGCCTGAAGTTGTTTTTGACAAACATAAGTAAATTTAATAAACTCGATAGTTGACAAACAACTTCGAGTTAAACAATTTTCCTTGTACAGTTTCAGTAAAGCGGATGACACACATTTTCAAATGGCGAATATAAAATAGCGATATATATCTAAGTAGAGCACAGTAGACTCATCTAGTGGAGGAGTATCACGTAAAAACTGTCATTAAATAAACTCGAAACCTTAATATACATATGAGAAGTAACTTTATGACTGGTCCGTAAATTTGACAAACTAGACTCTAAATTGAACGTCTAACTGAAATAAGAAGTCAACTGAAAAATATATTAGTTTATTAAGTAAATGAGGTCTGATTTTTGTGATAATATTAGATTAAAGTAACACTAGTCGAAAACGTAAATTGGTCCTCTTAATAAAAATTTATCTTAGTAATATTTGTGTTGCAATTTCTTATTTGCCAAAGTATTTATTTATTTGATTCTAGTGCTTTAAGCTTTAATTAGTCAGCAATCAAGTTGTTAAAATTTTATTTACTTTACTCTGAATGTTATGAACTAGTTGTTACTTTTATTTATTTACTCTTTTCAAATTAACTGAGAAAGAAAAATCAAAATTTTACTCAAAGTCGATATTGAAACCTTACTATTTCGCAAACAATTTTCATCAGGGCGTCAGATGACTGACTGGATAGTTTACTGGTATCACGTGACCGATCTAAAATTTTATCCGACACCTGCAACAGCTGGCCGCAAACTGACCAGCCGACATCATCAAAGGAAAGGTTCAGCCCCTAATCCAGTAATGACACAATGTTGATCAGGTAGAAAGTGCTTTTGATGTGACCCTGAATTTATTCGCGCACATGGCGTCTATTTGTGCGGGCGTTATTGCGTTATGAACGCCGCGGCGTTCTTTTTTGTCAGTTTGTCACCGATATTAGTTTGTCAGGGTTACCGGTTGTGAAAATTTGTGTGAGCAGTACATAATGCAAATTTGATCATATTTTCGCTATAGAACCCCTTCCAGCCTATTCTCTACTCCTTCACATCCAAATTACACAAGCACCGCTTTTGAATAATTTAGTAAGTGATCTAGTAGGGAAAGTCTTATTGTTGGATAAATAGATGGATAAACAAATTATGCTTTGAAATTCTATCCAGCTTTAAGAGAAAATACATATAAAAAAAAGAGCGAAAGAGAAAGAAATATCTTAATATATAAATTAAAAGTAAAGAGAACAAGTTAGAATTTACAAGCAATGCATCCGAGAACAAATTTCACTAAAAAGATACTTAAATTTACAAGAAAACGTTATAAGAGAAAGCGGGGAATTAGATATTGTAAATAAGTTTTAAACGATTACCGTTGTATACTCAATGTGAATCTAATTAATCTTATCTAGACAAATTTTACTTTCAAATGTTTTTTTCTTAAGAATGCAAAATGTTACCTATAAAAAGCAACGGATAATGCAAGAAGAGATATATGCCTATTCAATACTGTTATAAGGTATGGAAGGTATAATTATATACACTTATTCTACTAATAAGCAACAACATCGAATGTTCATATAGTTTTTAATACTATATATTTATTCCAAATATATATTCACGTAGATTAAGACACTCATATGGCGGCTTATTATGGAACCATGAATATTTATTAAATGACCTACTAAAAAAATTCTGCAAGGTAAATTAAATATTCTGTTAGTTTCTCCTTGTGCGTACTTATTGACTTAGGTAGCTTGTTGACTAATGATGAAACTGCATTAATGTGCGTAGAGGAACCATAGATTTTTAAAGGGAATTGACTAATTAAAAATAAGAAAATGAATCATTATAAGACACCTCCGCCATCTTTTCCCTAAGAGTTTACTAAGTTTTTTGTTTTGACCAAATTGAAACATGTTTACCAAAACATAGACGACGACACCCTATTGAATACAAAAAGGGACCTTTTGGCAAGTGTACAAGTTTTTTGGTTCTCAAATTGCCATAAGAAACTAAGACTTTTAGATTAAGTGAGACCGTATTCAAATTGTACAAAAAGCGTATCTTTTAACCTAGACCCCTGTCAACACTAGGAATGATCCAGAAATATCGCTGTAAGTAAACAAACAAACAGGAAGGGAGAATTTTCTCCAATCAATATAGGACACCATGTGTGCTCTTCATCGCTACCTTGGTGGCATGTAAACGAAGAAATTCAATTACCGAATGAGTCTCGCCAGACAAACGTTTGTCCCAATAAGAAAATTGGAAAAAAAAGCCGTGACAAACTAACCTGCGTGATTATAGTAGCAATGATCAATCTGCACGCAATTCAAATTTTCCTTATCAGCCATCGTCCCTTACATTTTATGAAATTTGTTAACAGCCTGCATAAAATCAATTTTTCACGGACAAACCGGACAAACACGGTGGAAGTCCGCCATCTTTTACCTGTTATTTTCTACCTGCCTGTCAAAATTTCCGAAAAACTGCATATAATTAAGAGAACCTAAGTGTATTTTATGCTGTTTTGTCAGTTAGGCCGCCATTTTGGTTCGCGTTCTATTTATAGAGCTTGGTTTGCCTGTACCGTGTTGTTTTCGGCACCTGTACACAGCTGCTTTCCAATACACTATTTTTAGGTTTTCCATAAAGAAAATATTTACTTTTAATAAGTACCAATAATTTTATCGAAATCTTACGAAGGAGTAGATAAATCGGACGGATGTTATCGTAGGTGAAGGTCATCATTTTGGTACTTTAAAAATGCTTATGCATTCCACCAAAACATAGCACCTAAAGTTTACGCTCTTTATACCATTTTAATCTTATCTACCGTTAATACAGCACCCAATATAAGTTATATTATACGTATGTTTACGCATTTCTAGACAAAATTTATACATATTACAGAGAAGGGAGATAAGTATCGCATCGTTGGCACGAACGTTATTCGATAGGGGACGAGTTACCCTAAAAAACATTCCACAATGCTCTTAACCTCAAAAAAAAAAATAAACGTAGTGTTTTCTGCGCATGTATAGAACGAACAACGAGAAAAAAAGACAAGAAAAATTTTGCCACTTGTAGAAATAATTGCCTCGGAGTCGTCGCAATAGAAAAATTTCGTGAAAAATTACGTGAAACACAGCGGGAACCAGCAGAGACAATTATTGACATAGACAGCAAGGTGAAGGTCGCAAGTACAATTAAACCCCAGGCGTTTTGCCAATTTATTTCCAGATTTTAATTAAAACGTATATAAAATTCTCAAAAACAATAGCCTAAAAGGTAAACATAAATGAAGATAGACAATAAGAAATCTGTAAATAAAAACCGTCCGAATCTCCATCTGTTTAAACCTATAGTAAATATTCCTTACAGAAAAAAATTCATCTCTCAGATATGGAAGGATTTCAATCGATTAGAATATAGAATGTCATTTAAGAAAAGTTACAGACTTATAAATAATAGAATTCCAAAAGAGATATATAAGAATTTGTTCTGGTTCGAAACGTCTAAAAGGCAAAATTACTTGATGCTTAGTGGGTTTGGACGGGGTGTTCTTGTGCTTTGAAAAATTTACTATCCACATACGAGTTTGCAAGACAATATCGAATTATCGACAAAGATAGCAAGGTGAAGGTCGTCAACAATTGCAAGCCGTATACAACAAAGACGACAAACGGTTCATCACCTGCCTTTGCAGACGTCTTTGTGACGCCTACAAAGAAAACCGCCTGACCAGTAACTAGAACGCTTCGCTTCACTAATAAAGCTGGAAAAGCGTTCTTTGTCGCGCTAAGGCCATCTTCATTAAGCTGAGTGGCAACAAAAGCGAATTACAAACATATACAATTATTCACCACTCGCTACACCAACGCCAAAAAAAATAAAGTATATATGCGCCCTGCAAAGACACCTTTGGGATAATCTCTCATAAAACTATCGATCCTATTTTCCAGTCTAGAATACTAACTATTAATTACCTGCACTATAATTCTGATTTCTATCCATCATACCAATATCCTCTATTCGACCTGTTGTATAACAGAAAAAATAAACAAGTAGAAGAATTTAAGGAGGAAAAGGGAGGAGGAGAAGGAAGGAGGAGTTAAAGATAAATAATAAAATCATATTATAAAATATAAGAGGAGTAAGCGGGGGGGAGCGACGATGTATAAGAGACAGAATAGAATTGACTATCGATATATAATCTTACCGGAGAAATCGAACGTTTTTCTTCCCTTAAACATTCTGCGACTGTTACTTTTAAAGCTCTTTATCTGTATACATAAAAAAAAGAACATTTTTTTATATTCGTTTATTTACCTTCGTAAATTTATTAATTAAAAAAATTATGTTTTTAATATGATTTTTAAATGTATACGAAAGCGTTAGGCCTAATTAAAACGAGACGCACTACGTAACAAACGATCGAACGCGTAAATCAGGTCATGGACGGTTGCTAAGCAACGTACTTTTCAGGTACACCATGACGACACTATAAATTTTGCTGTAGACAGAACTATGTTACTAACAAAGTAGATTTGGTATATACTCAAATAGAAGGTTAAATATACAACAATAGATATTCCAATTGATTGGACGATCGGACAGGTGGGTGGCGCCAATGAACACACCTGACAGAGGTGATTGGTTACTGAGACGCTGCATAGTCACATACAGAGCTACTCAATTTATCGAGAGCGGCGTTTTTCTTTCTTAGATATTGATCTAGTTGGCGCACGTTTCTTGGCGCTTGATTTATGGAAGGGCAGCGTCGGTCGCGTTTTTTTTATATTTTGCAATAGATGAAGGCACGTAAACGGGAAACCGCTGGATTGTTTACAGAGGAGCTCATGAACTCCTGTAGAATATATTCGAACGAAACTGGA